CTGTCACGGGGTGAACCCAGAGGCTCCGCTCGCCGAGCCGGGCGTCGAAACTGGCCGCAGTCCCCTGGCTGCGAAGGCCCCGCAGAGCGCGCCGGGGTGAAACCGAGCTGGGCGCGAAGCGGCGTGCGCGGCCGTGCCTGGGGGATGCCCAGGGTAGAAACCCGGCGGAGGAATTCCGTTTTCCGAGGAGAACGCGGGCCGTCGTGAGCTGCGGAGGAGGAACGCTGCGCCCCCGGGGGCCGAGCTGGTGGCAGGGCCGTTCCTGGTGTTCGCTAAGTAGCGCCAATCCCCTGTGCTTTTAGGATACCACGCCCGACGAGCTGCTGTCCGCCGTTATGGCGGCTGTCCTGCAGGATGTCAACCTCCGTCCTGAGGCCCTGGGAGACATCTGTGTGGGTGAGTGAACAACCTCCGTCCGGACTGGAAGCTCCTGCTCTGGGCAGCTCTCTGGGACGGGCTGCTCCTGGTGTCCCGTGGGATACGTGTGAGTACCGTGGGGTTGGAAGAGGTTCCAGTGTAGCTTCAGGTCTGTGAGACCAGGACGCCTGTTCTGCCCGGTGGCGGGGCTCTGGTCTGGGTGTCGGGCGGTACCAAGCCACGGGGATGCGAACGTCCCCCCGACGCCCGCAGCAATAGCGAGGGAAACGCCACCGATTGACCAGAATTGTGTCTTTGCACCCAGGAAACGTGCTGCAGCCTGGAGCTGGCGCTTTGATGGCGAGAGTTGCCCAGTTTCTAAGGTAAACTCCTAACCAGAACAAGGTTCCTCTTCCCCTTCTCGGGCCTTGGCTGTGGAGCGGCGCGGGGTCAGAGGTTCCTATGAGGCTGGTGCACTCCTAAGAAATTACAGCAAATCACCTTTTGCCTAGAAATTAGACTTTGGCCGGGCATTTGGAGAACCCTGATGGGGTTTGGAGAAGCCTGGTGGTAACGGGCAGGCAGAGGCGGGGCTGATTAACCGCTTCGGGGCCCTTAAGGGGACAACCCAGATGGGGTTTGGAGAAGCCTGGTGGTAACGGGCAGGCAGAGGCGGGGCTGATTAACCGCTTCGGGCCTCTAAAGGGGACATCTCATTTTGTGGGCTCCCAGCTGTACCTGCGGCTTCTCCGTGCCGCGGGGCTGCGTGGGCCTGAAGCCCTGGGGCTGCCTCGAGTCTGCGTTCCTTTCCCGCTGTCACGGTTGATGGCTCTTATTGAGCTGGGTCCCAGCTTCCAAATATTTCAGCCAGCGTCTGTTGGAGAGGTGTGGACATAGCCCACCAGTTGTTAGGAATATTGCAGAGCTTTTCAGTATTCCTGGCCCCGATCAGAGCTCGGGAGCCAGGCACGCAAGAGGGCCCTGCTGACAGAGGACCTTCTGAAGGCAGACCTGTGGGGAAACAGCTCCCAGAGCCCCCTGCGAATCGAGTTTGGAAATTATCTATGGACTTTGCTTTCCCTTGGTGCAGGGCCAAATAGGTCAACAAATGTATAAAGGGACCTGTCTTGAACTTGAGGGTTAAGGTTTAATGAAGTGGCTTACTGCTGTCCGTAGAGGTTTGGTTCGTTGGTGGATTTCATCGCTGAGTGTTTGCCAACACTGTTTTATTTTCTAGTGGTATTCCAGAGACGGTGCCGTGCTGCACCGTGAACCGGCAGTGCTCCTCCGGGCTACAGGCCCTGATCAATATCGCTGGTAAGTGTTGTGGGCGCTCGGGTCGGAGTCGATGCCTACCCCACCCCAAGTGCTCATTTCTCCTGTCCTCCAGTCTTTCTGACTAGAAAAAGTAGTGACAACGTCTTCTGCTGTTAGCAATTTTCAGTGTGGTGTTGGTGGAATACTCTTCTATCCTTGAGTGGCCGAGTTTACCCCTAGAGAAGTAGCTTGGCTTACTGAGGTTAAGTTCTACCATCACTTCCACATCAGGCAGCTTTGAGAAGGGTCACAGAATCACAGAATGGCAGAGGTTGGAAGGGACCTCTGTGGGTCATCTAGTCCAACCCCGCTGCCAAAGCAGGGTCACCCAGAGCGGGCTGCACAGGACCTTGTCCAGGTGGGTCTTGAATATCTCCAGAGAAGGAGACTCCACAACCCAGGCTGAACAAGCCCAGCTCCCTCAGCCTTTCCTCATAGGAGAGATGCTCCAGTCCCCTCCTCATCCTCGTAGCCCTCCGCTGGACTCTCTCCAGTAGCTCCTCATCTTTCTTGAAGTGGGGAGCCCAGAAGTGGGCACAGTACTGCAGATGGGGCCTCACTAGGGCAGTGTAGAGGGGTCCCTCATGTCCTCTCCGGTTGCTTGTCGGGTCGTGGCTGGTCTTCAGCCCCATCAGCTCCTTGGCCTGGCTCGTGTTCTGGCAGGCGGGAGGGCGGCGGGAAAACATCGTTCAGCTGTCGTGGGTGCCTTGGGTGCTCTTGAAGCTGCAGCTGGAACGGAAGCGTGTTGCTCCTGGTGATGGTAAGAGTGTTTCTGCACTGCTGTTACAGGTGGCATCCGCAACGGATCGTATGACATTGGCTTGGCCTGTGGGTAAGAAAGTCTTTTTACGGCGTTTGCTTAGGCTGCTTGAGAGCAGCGCTCAGTCCCTCTGCAGCAGCTCTTGTGTGAGGGATGAGAAACCCCTTCCAACCAGATCTGTCCACCCAAGGAAACAGATGCCTTCCTCGTTTGAAAAATGGATGAATACAGTCTTAAAATTAGGACCTGAATTTAAGTGGTGGCTGCAGATGCAATTTTTGTGTTTCCAGAGGCTGCTGAGTGCTTTTGCAGGTGATCAGGTCACATTGAAGGGTCTGAGGGAGGGTGCTTGAAAATCCTTTAGTTCCCCTGGAAGTTGTGGCCCTGGTGACGTGTCTGCTGGGGTTGCAATAGGAGGCTGAGCACCTCGTAGAAGCGTGCAAAAAGCCAGTCGTGTCAGGGTCCTCTGGCTCTGCTGTAGGATACCGCTTATGTGCAGAGCTCTGAGAGCCTGAAGGAGCCTGCCGTGATTAGTTTTTTAACTGATCTCCAATTAACTGATCCCCAGTTAACTGGTGTCTTAGAATACCAGCAGCTACCTTGGATAAAGGAATTAATGTCCTACCCAGGCTAACAACTGTTCTCCAGACTTAAAGGAGATGTTTTTCTGCGGTGGACGGGCGTGCTGTTCTTCGCTTTGGTCCTAACATCATAAGAAGTGTTTATTTTTTTAGAGGATTATGGAAATGTTAGGTTGGCTTTGGAGAAATACTAGTGACCACATACACGTTCACTTCAGAAGAACAAATTAAAAAAAAAAAAAGTATTCAGTAATCCTGAGGCTAAAATAGTGGGTTTTTCTTTACCTTGGTAACTCAAAGTCTTTCTTGAATTATTACTCTGTGCAGTTGTCTGGTAGCCCTTAGGAAAATATTTATATTTACAACTTCTCAACACCTGCACGTACCTGGCTGAGCAAGATCTGGTGCTGAGAACGCCCTTCTTAGGCTGCTGCGAAACAGACCGCTCGGCAAGACGGGCGCGTTCCTCTGGTGTCGGCTGAGCGCTTGGGGGTCACGGGGAATGCTTCCGCGTGGGCGCGCGATGCTTCTCGCTCGCGTTCGCTTGGGTAACACCCTTGTTTCAAGAAGTCGCTTGGTGGCGTCCACCAAAACCATGCGCTGAAAGGTGCCAGAAGGCACAAAGGGTCTGGGATCTTTGTGCCTTTTGGTGTGCAAGCCGCTGCGTTTCATCGCGGGAAGTTTTCCAGCCTCTACCCTGCGGAGCCCTCCACGAAGGCGTAAAATCCATATATTGCAAAGAGCTTTTGCGGGTGGGGTTTATCCCAAGTCGTGCTCTTCCCCTGAGCAGCCTCGCCCCCTCCGTAGGTGGAGAGATGCTGGATGACAACACAACATGCCGCAGCTGTGGTTTGCTCTTGCTTAAAACCCGATTTTGTACCTTCCTTCGGGGAGTAGATGCAGCTGGAGTCAAGAAATGCAGCGTCCCGTGTTACAGTTGGTTGAAATTCCTGATAGCTCTCACTATAAGCTGCTTTGCTTATTTTCTGCTTGTCTTGCGTTTTCCAGGAGTAGTTTCTGTGTTACTTACTCTTTGTGAATGTATTTGTGTGGCGCAGAGCAGAAGTCAAACCCTCTTCCCACCACAGGCTGCACGGTCTACACCGGCTTTACAAACGCTCGCTCGTCTCAAGCGATGGCTTTGTATTTGTGCAGTACAATTGGGTGTCTGCAGTCTGTGCGCTCGGCTGTGAGTCAGGCTGCAGCCTCTGGCAGCCAGGGCTGGAATTCTTTGTGTTGCAAAATACAAATGGCGTAATGGTTTGCTTCATACTTTTTATACTGCCAACCAGTTCTTAAGCTGCAAGGGGCATTTTTATGGCTGGGGGCTGCCAGTCTCGCTGGAAGCTCCAATCCTAAAACCTTAGATTTCTTGTTATTTTTGAGGGCAAAAGTGCCAGAATCGTCAGCGATTTCTACCTAGCTGTGGAAATGAGAGAAATCAACTGTTGAAGTTGGTATCCTGTCCTTAGTGAAACAAGGACCAATTCGATCTAGCGGTGTGTTTCCGTTTCGTGGTGATTCTTATGCTGATGACTGAAGAGCTGCTGCATCAGCCGTAATTCTGGCTGCGGTTCTGCAGGGGGATAGGAGAGGCACGGTGTCGAGGTGCTGAGGTTTCATCAGCCGTAACTGAGCAGCCACCACAAATGTAGTATGGAAGCACTGGTAGCAAATTGAATTTTTTCTTGTGTTCAGGGTGGAAACGATGTCCCTCAGAGGCGTAGATAACTCTGGCGATATCAGCTCCAGCGTGATGGAAAACAGCAAGGCTCGAGATTGCCTCATTCCCATGGGGTAAGTGTTTCCCCTTCGCAGACTGAAGGGGTCTCTCGGTGGCCTGTCTCCTCCCTGGCCGTACCGTTTCAGATCAATCTCAACGCGGTGAGCTTGGATACGTGCGTGTTGGCATCCTGGCTCGTGGTGGAGGATTAATTATGTGCAGTGGGGGAGGATCAGCAACTCTGCGGAAAGATTTCCTTGTCTTAGGTCTTAAGCTCAGTGGCTTAATGAGCACGGAAAATGGGTCTGAACCTTGTTTTGGTCGTTGATCTAATGTGGAATTTGCTTCTGCCGAGTGTTTCTGGGTTGAGAAGGCAGCAGTTGGCTTTGAGAATAAAGCCAATGCTTGTACCTGGTGGTGTCTCGGTAGAAGCCAGCTGCGGCTCCGTTAGATGAGTCGTCGGATTAATTCTGTGATGTTGTTTTCCCCAGAATAACCTCAGAAAATGTGGCAGAGAAGTTTGGAGTTTCCCGAAAGAAGCAAGACGCCTTTGCCTTGGCTTCCCAACAAAAGTAAATGCTTTTTTTTGTTTGTTTGTTTTTTAAAACCTTTTAGTTAATAAATAAATACAGCTAGAAAACGTGTTGCTACTTCCCAAGAGC